AAGAAAAGAGGGAGATTAAAAACATATTGTGTCGGTAATTGGGGACAGACATGAAAAGAATGAATGGTAAGTGGAAAGAACTGGAAAGGCGAATCCAGGACAAAGTTGGTTAGAGATTATTGGCCACCAACTTACTCTGCATGAGAGTTAACAGCCATATTAAGTAGAGGAAGATTCAGAGTTATGGGAATGGCTTTCATAACATGAAACAGATTTAAAAGTAATGTTTGATTAGGATGCTATTAAAACAGGAATAAATCTGAGCTAACTACAGTTGGAGAGGGTGGGGTTATGATTCTCGAAACCAGGGATTACAATCATGGTAGGAAAAGGGGTTGAACGCATATCTCAAGATTATCTATATTTTCAGTAGAAGCCTCAGCAATTGAAGTGTCAACAACTTACTGTTTGGAAAATTTTTGTTTACTCTGTAGTTGACTGTGAATGATTTTTTTTTGTATTTCAAATGACCGATATCAATAAGATATCCTACTGTCACATTTCATGTACGCCCGTTGTTAGTTTCTGAATAAAAGTTTCATCTAACTATCAATGTACCTGGTCTTTAGGTACCAGTCATCTGATATGTGTACACTGAAATGTAAGAGCTTATTCTTGAGATTAATAATGAGCAAGGACTGATTATGAACCCTGATTCAGATAAATTTTTGAAGAGTTTAAAATCCAGCTTTATAACATTCGAAGTTTAATTTCATATAAAGCATCTTATTCAACATAGTGGTAAATACTTTCTTGGGAAATTTAGGTTTTATGTTATTATTATTATTATTGTTCTATGAGCGTTGTTGAATTTAAAGTCTTAGATCATAGGTCAACTTTGGGTAGACCACTGGTCAACAATATGCACTGACGACGTTCAAGTAGATTTTCGTGATTCTATCATTTAATTCGGTTGACTATCTACCATATTATCACATGTGGTTAAAATCCAAAAGGTTACCTCAAGTGTTACCCAGCTTCTGGTAAACATCCTCAAATGGTTCATATTATTTGTTTATTACGCAATAAAACAGTAGCATAGTAAATGACTAAACTTTAGCTAAAATTATAATGTTTCCATATGTAAAAGCAGTATTACTACAAGTTATTCCTTATTTCTGTTCGATTCTGTTCATTTTAACTTAGTATCTTTCATATATTTATTATTTTCACATGTAATTTGGTTTTATGCATATTTAGGATTCCATACTATATACAGGTGATCAGATTCATGTGTCTATGGTATAGTTTCAGTCAAAATGTTTTGTTGCTTGTGAGATGCATCACCTTTTATAAATTAAAATTCTTCACTATTCCAAAACTTTCTAATGGTCAAACAGATATCAGCAGGAGATAGAAAATACTTCAAATGTCTGACTAGTGAATGTTGTTTATAATTGTAAGAGAGTAAAGTAAAATTTGAGGTTAAACAAATTAAAATTGAAGAACAATTAGACAAAACTACTTTATCAAATCATTTGTCCCTACTATTCATATTTCGTGTTATTGTAATTAAATTTAATTGTATGTGATATTATTTCCGGATCAGTAAATTTTTTTTTTGATTATCCAATAGACTATATATATTTATTGGTAATTACTGATAATTATTTAGGTTTTTTTTTGCATTCGTTTCTACCGTATTGATTTGTTAGATAATTCTTGTTACAGTCAGTTGCAGCGTAGAACTTCGTACGTATGTACATAAGTTCATGTTGCCATACCACATTAGCACAGAGACGCAAATATCAAATCAAATCCCATAGTGATAGAGATAGTAGAGATATTAATGTTAATAAAGAAGACTAGAGTTCGAAGATATTATTCAAGAAATATAATTCAGTGAGATAAGGTTAGAAAGACAAAGGTAGAGGTGCTGACGAATCCAGAAGATTAGGATTTGAGAGAGCTCAAAGAATGGATGCACCTGCGTCACTGCAAACGATTTTGGGCCATGTCGTTCAAGGTCTCTAACTATTGGTGACTTTCGTCTCGCGGACCCCAACTAGGTAGCCTACATCTACCAACATGACTTAGTCCACTTGTTAGTGACTTCATGGATTTGTGCCATGTTTTGGTCTGGCCGCCCCTAACTTTCTTCCAACTTATTCCTACACCACAAAACATAGCTCGTCGAGGCAGTTGGTGGTTAGGTATTCGTAACACATGTCCTAACCACCTCAACTGATGAAGTTTCATCACTTCATCTACTGATCTGCCATCCTTACCTAGTACTCGTTTCCTAACGATAGCATTGCTTACTCAGTTGTCCCATGATATACGAGCAACGCTTCTAAGACACCTATGATCGAATACTAGTAACCTACGAATATCTCCTACTCTAACTCTTGTTACAAATGAATTATATATTTGTAAAAATGCCTGAAGTTTTAGTTGTAGCCGTGCTCAACTGACTTCTTGATAATTCAGGAAGAAAGCCGTGGATCGATTGATGATGTAACAGTATAGATACAGTAGATAAATATTTTATTTTATTTACACTTATGCAGTCAGATTTGTCTACGTCAAATGGAGTAATACATTAGTTTGTCAATAACTTTATTGTTTGAACACGTTTGACAGTCTATAACCAAAGGGTATAATTAATTTACTGATCTATCTATAATTACTTCTCAAGATGTGATTACATATCACAGATGATTGAAAAAAAAATCATTTTCATGTCACTCGCATTGTAATCAATTAAGTTTTTACTCACGATACCGATTTTCATCTTAAGCACATTGTTGATTATTTTCATGACTAATTGTAGTTATGTCATAACTAACCAATCAAATTGTGGTTTAAGCGTCCACCACGTGATCTGATCTGACATGTCTGTAAACTTTTTTTTGTTGTAAATGACCTACTAATTGAAGGACATTATTATCTTATTATATTGATGTGACTCATAGTTTTATTCATTTCCAAAGACACGCTATATTGGTCGGTATGTTTGCTCGTCCTTATTTATTGTACTAATTTAATTGTTTTTATGTTTAGAAACAGATAAAGTTTAAAACCAAGTTGATCTCGTTCTTACTATAGCTTTCCCATAAACTCTGTGCTCGCCAATATTGCGTTTACCGTTCTAGAATTACATCTGTAGGATAAATTAAATCCTACACACATACTACAGCCATAGTACATACATTATATCATAATCCATGGATCAATTATCTTTTTCATTCTCATCGTATTATTTCTTAATGTTCCAGTTAGTCATTGTCTTTGTTTTAAATTTCTTTACATATATATATATATATATATATATATATATATATATATATTAACATTAATCGCGTAATCGCTGACCTCGAACGGAAACGTGTTGTATCATTCATTTCAAGTAAAATTATGCATCATTGTTGTTGCTTGTTAATGACTCATACCAGTTGTTATTTGGTTAATTTATTACTATTAGCTTTTGTCTGGATTTTTGTAGAACAGATATATTTATTTTACTGTTCAAACGAAATCCAATATAAAATGTAGTAAATAATGTGATACCCCAGTATCATGTTTTGTTCTCTAGTGTATGGAATGAATGGAAATGTTTCATTCTTTGTTATCTTTGTTAGTGTTGTTCTTTTTCCTTTTTTAATTGGATCGTTGAATTCTTTGAATAATTGTAATTTATTTATTTTTCATTTACATATATATAATACAACGAGTTTGTGTATATATGTTCTCTCCCACTAACAACTACACATGTATTCTATGTAAACTTTCAAGGGAGTGTCACTGCTGTGACATATATATATATATATATATATATATATATATATATATATATATATGTATCAGTAAATGATCACTGAGTCATACTGTGCCTTGTGATGTTAGGTCTATTCAATCTGTATGAAACTTGAAACCTGACTTTTATACTCTCTGATACATGTAATGAATGTTTATTTAATCATACAGTATTTCCTATGCTTGTTTTTCTTAATAAAACCTTTAAATGTTTCTCTATAACTTGTTGTTTTAAACAAGTGACTTTCAATCAATAGAGTGTAGTGGCATATGTAAAATTTATTCTACATATTTTAGTTTGAGCAATTGAGTAACATTCTGAGTAGCTTCATGGTAGGTAGATGTGACTTGAAACTTATTTATTTACATTGTACTCTGTTTATAGACTGGTCTTCTACTGTAATATTGATTAATAGATTAGGTAGTATCATATTAAGTTAATACTTATTAACCAGAGTGATGGTCTACTAGTTATAATACTCGGTTATCAACCTATAGGTCTGTTACGCATTGCACATAAACACGTCATTTGATATGCTTGAACCATTACGAGTTTACCTTAATCAGTAAACGAGAGCGAGAATCTAGAATCCGGCGACACGACGGGCTACTCTAATCCGAACGTCTCAAACCCCCATTGACTAAAAGAAGAAAAACCTGTATTCTACAAACATCTAGAAAGTACGAGGTCCGAGTCCAGAAGAGAATCAGGATCCCGAACTAGGGATCCGGGTCATAAAACGTTACAGATAATGCGTATTTATACAGTTAGGACGATCAATAGGAAACAACATTGAAGTCTGTGACATTGATAACTAGGACGGCCATAACATTGACCAGTAAGAATCGACCAATAGAATTGTACTTACAAAAATTATTGTCTTAGGATATTTGATGAAGATCCTAACAACGTCATATAGATCCTAACCCCCAAATCTATGATACTTCGGTATGAACAACTGAATGGTATCATAAACTTTCATAAAAAGTGTACTGTATTTTAGTAACTGAGTAGCGTGATATGTATTATCATTAATGGTCAATTGTTCACAATGTGAAATTTTTATTATTATTTTTCTTCCTGTCCTTTTCCAGATAATTTCTACCATCAATTCAATGTAATCTTTAATGAAAAAGAAAATATTTCGAAATGGATTATTTATTTGCAAATTAAACAAAACACACTCATGTTTTTATTTATCATATACACATAGTAGGTTGTAATATACATACACTAGATTTCAATGAATGGAATTAAACTGAACTCAAATCAAAATGTTAATCAATATGATGATGATGATGATGACAATAACAATTTGTTAAATTTCGAACATATTTCTGATGACATTAATACAATCAATGTGAAACCATTTTTAAAACAATTACGATGTGTTATTGGTGAATTGATTGAATCGGAATTAGTTTATTTAAAAAGTTTATGTGATATTGAAGAGGTGAGTTATGATTGTGATAGTTTTTATTTAATGAAACTACTTACTGTGTCGCTTTCTTGTGTGACTTATTCATATGTGTTCCTAGCATTACACCGGTTCATCTGTGTTCAGAGGGAAAGGATCATGACGATGTCTTAGTGACGTTGATTCTCAAAATCCGATTCATAGTATTTACTTCTTTTGTATATTTTCAGACTGATAAAAATGTGTAGGCGATAATCATGAATCGATAAGTAATTCATTGAATAATATTAACTGGTCTACACTATTACATTCCCGACCGTAGCTGCTACCTTGACGTGGTGATCGGGCTTGACTATCGTGATGACCCAGCCGAGCTATACTGGCTGGAACATATGTTCCTGAAGGTTCTACCATACCAGGCAGGTCGATTGGAGAACGATGAGACTAAAAGCAGCTACCCAAGGTCTGAGGGCGAAGTCGTACTGCTGACTGCAGAGGGGTGTGACAGCAGTAAGGTGTTTCCCTCGGACAGCTAGCATCTGCAGCGATGCTGCCTTCTCACAAGGAAGGAAGGGTTAGAAAAGGTCGACCCTAAAAATGTCACACCTCACCCTACCTCACGGATTTCCGTCTCCGGCAGTAATAGTGCCTACTAAGGGCTTTCAAGAGCAGAGCTAATCCTCTAAAAACCCTTCATAAAAAGGCCGTGCGTCACCGGCCTCAAGCAGTTGTCCCTTGGGCTCTGCGGTCACGCCCCCAGATCTCCAAGACAAACACTAATCTATCTTCGTTTTCAGGTTCCTCAAGAAAAAACCTTCCACGGTCTGGGCAGCCGGGAAGTGACAACCGCCCTCATACCCGTAACAGCACACGAGACCAAATTGGTCAAAATCAAATCCTTCCTACACTCCCTACTATTACATTAGCCATATAGTGTTGAGACAGTATATGATCTGTTCGACTTTCAGCGTATTATCACTCATGCACAATATGTTTAGATTCTTGAACAAACTTGCATTTGCTTCAACAAATGATATAGTCGCATTGGGTTATGTTGATTCATTGTGAAGAATTATTCATTCACTCAGTATAGTGCATCTATGAATAATGGATTAAATTTTTTGTTATTGAGATTTACATCCAACTGAAATGATCTGGTCCATTGTTTCATCTAAGTATATTCAATAGATGATATTGACCAAAGAAAATCATTTGCAACCAGTTCTAATAATGTAACCACTATTCACACAGATTTAAAAAAAAATCAGGTTTATTTATATGAATGTTATACAAAATAAACTTGGATATGAAATGTTAACTATTAATAAAACGTTTTATTTTGTCATATTTGTTTTTCTTGTATAACCGGATATTCACTAAATAATTTATATTAAAAGTTTTAATTAATAGTATTTAATACAGTTCATCTACAATGAGAGTTTCTCTGAGATTCATTTTGTATTGATAAATTCTAGACATTAATTTATGTAATTCGATCTATGACTGTAAAGTATGAATTGAACCTAGAAATTAGCAATTTTGATCACTCTAAAACTTTATTGCAATATTCTATTTCAGTCATGTCAACTTAATGAGATTATTAAATTTCATATTAATTTTTTAATAGTTTAATATTAATTATTTTTGTACATCATATCACCTAATTGCTTGTATAATTTTGTCATAGACCTGCTTCTAGATATAACATTATTTTCAGGAGTGGACCTTCTACCAGGAGATTCACTGGTTGACTTAGAAAATGCCGATGACATAGTTCTACTTGGCGAAGACGATGATAAAATGCAGTGTCTCCTGACTACTCTAAGCAACAATGCAAGCATGTTCGGGATGCGATTCTCCCCGTCGAAATGCAGAATGTTGCCTCAAGATTGGCACCTGAACCACTGATAGGGAGTGGAGCAGTTGAGCATGGTGATTGCTTCACTTAGCTGGGGAGTCTCATCAGTGCTGATGACCTGGTTTGTGAAGAAATCTCAGCACGTATACATAAGGCTCGATTGGCTTTTGCCAACTTGCGTCACTTATAGCATAGGAGAGATATGCGTTTGCTAAACAAAGGACGAGTGTACTGTGCAGCAGTTCGCTCCGTCCCACTTTATGGGTGCGAAACATGGCCAGTCAGAGTAAAAGATATTCGTTGGTTGCTGGTTTTCGATCATAGATGTCTCCGAAGCATTGCTCGTGTATCGTGGGACAACCGAGTAAGCAATGCTTTCGTTAAGAGACGGGTACTAGGTAAGAATAGCGGATCAGTAGATGAAGTTTTGAAACTTCATCAGTTGAAGTGGTTGGGACATGTGTTGCGTATTCTTAACCACCGACTACCTCATCGAGCTATGCTTTACGGTGTAGGAATAGGTTGGAAGAAAGCTAGGGGCGGCTAGACCAAAACATGGCATAAATCCATGAAGTCACTTATAAGTGGACTGAGCCATGTTGTTAGATGTAGGCTACCTGGTTGGAGTCCGCGAGACGAAAGCCGCCGATGGTTAGAGACCTTGGACGACATGGCTCATAATCGTTTGCAATGGCTTAGGTGCATTCATTCTTTGTGTTCTCCTTTATCTTTTCCTTTTTTTAAGTTTATTTCACTCGATTCTACTTCTTGAATAATATCCTCGAACCCTAATCTCTCCATTTACTGCTAATACTTCTACTTCCTCTACTACTACTACTATGGGATTTGAATTGACAATTCTATTTCTGTGTGCTAAAGTGATATGGAAACTCGAACTGATGTACGTACGTACGTACGAAGTTCTATGTTGTAGCTGACTGATTGACAACTGGTATCTTAATATTTGATTGAAAAATGTAATGTAAATACATTGAATCCACTAATTGTAATAAACTTTCTGAGAACATTAATTCAACTGTACATGTTAGCTTAATTTGTGAGATAGTTCAATAAATATCTGATTATATCTGCTTATTGCTTTTTTAAATCTTATACTTCTAGTCTCTCTGTAAGATTAAATCGCTATGTATCTGTTTATAGTTAATTATGTTATGAGTTTAGAAATTCTTAAGATATTAGTATTTCAAATTTAGTTTTCACTATGGATGTAGTGAACGAGAACACAGGTGGGGAAACCGAATTGTATTTAATGAAAATTACAGAGTTACTCAGTAAAATAGGAAAACCATATCGTAAATCGTTAATTTGCAAAATATCAGTCCATCATATCGAACTGGACTGTTCCTGTTGCAAAACATCAATCCATTGTCACTATTCATGAGTTTCATACAAATTCCATTGTGTTCTAACTCTTCCTTTCTTGATCTTCTCCCATCTTCTGCTGCCAGACATTACGTTGACGCTCACGTCATATACTACTTATAAGTAGCTCACACCACATGGAGAGTGTGACATTAACTGAAAATCTAGAATTTTAAAACTTTCAGGATTCATAATGACTTGAATATTTTTTTTTCCTATCAGTAATTTTGAATGTAAAATAGTCTGTATCCTCAGTTTTATTTTTCAGTGGTCTTCAAGTTGATATCAACTTGTAAGAAAGAAGATAAATTCGATCCAAAAACTCTCCTATCTTAATTTCGTTGAGATTGAATGAATAGAATGGCAAAGTATTTGACCAAACTAAACCATACCTTTAATCATAATGTTTATAAGGATAAACTAGTGAGAACGAATCCTATTTATCATTCATGTACATAACATCTTTCGGCTTCCGATATCATCGTTTATTTTCCGAATGAGTTTAATTGATTAATATTTAAAAAACAATAATAATTATATTTCACAGTGGTATGTCAATGCATAGAAATCGATATTTCTGAGGTGGTTTTCTAGTTTAATTTATCAGAAAAAGTTCTTTTGATCACAGAAACAAACAATCTTTTCTTTCAACCATAAAATTCTTTTAGTCATGCCTCAGTACATTGAGTTGGTTCACTCGCATTCTCCATTTCTCTTTGACGCTTTGTATTCTCATGTCTGTCAGCACGAACGATTGCTTGAAATAAACTCATCCAACCGAATCCGTATTTGGCTGCTAACTACGGTCGCCTCATAAACGGGGTTCGCCTAAGTATGATATATGGGAACTGAAGGGAAGATTTTTCATAGCATATTTAATTGTTCATAAATATCGGAGTTAGATGGTGGCCACTAGAGTGGTGAGTCCTACTTCGAGTTCAACGCAGCCACTAAATGTTATTCACACGATGATTATGATTATTACGATGGTCATCGTCACGTACATATCTGATATGTGAACTCAGCTTGAAGAGTTGTGCGAGAGAGAACAGACGACATTGATTGTTTTGTGCGAATGAGGTGGGATGGTGGTATACTTGGTGTTCACACTATAATGTGTGAATGGGTCAAGTGAAGTGACTGCTGGAAGTATATACTGGAAAATATATTGGTCGTTTGACCAGTGGAATTGGATATAGTGTCGAGGTTGCAGGATGTGTATTGTTGACGACTGTTCTGTGAATTGGTGTAGTTGTTTGCTTGTGTCGATGTTGAAATTGATGTTGGATTCGGTATGTTGTGTGTGGGTATGTTGGATGAAGATATGCTTGTGAGTATGAATAAGTAAGTGTGAGTGTATGTGTGGCGTGGAGTTGGCGCCGGAATAGCTCAGTCGGGAGAGCGTTAGACTGAAGATCTAAATGTCCCCGGTTCGATCCCGGGTTCCGGCAGGCTGCCGTCGGTTTTCACCGACACGTTCTGCCACTGTGGAACACCGTTTGCATCACGATAATAACATGTCGCCCTAAGCGTTCCTCACCATCATACGGTCACGTGCTGTGGTTTGTGCTCCGTGGGGCACTACACATCTCCATTCACCACACCTTCACTCACATCCAACAATTCACTCTCTTTCTATTCACTTCACCCTGTCCTCATCTGACTTCATTCGACAAATCATCCAATCAACAGTCAGGTCGGGTCAAATGTGGGCCGAAACAGTTCGAGGAGCATGAGCTTAATCGAGTCAGATCCATGAGACAATGTAACATTGGGTCTGACGCTCTCATTGGTACTGTCATCCACTGCATGCTTCATGCATTTCTAGACAAATGCTCCTCATACTCGGAGAATTATCTGTACGACAATCAATACCATACGTTGTTCGCACACATGTGATAGTAGTATTAGTGGTAGATGAATTGGTGAGTGGTCAGTACATTCAGCTCGTGGTAGGTTGCAAGTCATGATTGTTGCATGTGGAGATTGAATTTGATGCGAGTTTATTGTGATCGAATGTGTCAGATCACATAGAGATTTCGGTGAACACGTCACGACCAGTACAGACACAAAGCAACGGACATTTGTGGCCTTGCGGTCTGTGGAGGTAGACGGAGAGTAATGTGTAGGCGAGTGATGGTGTCTGCAACACCTACGTTTCTCTGATAATTTGTTAGTCTGCAGATCGGTAGAGTAATCGTGGCTTCGCATTCCAGATAGTGTGATGTGTTGCGCACGATAAAGCGACGGTAATAGGTTTGTGTGTGTGGATGTCGACGAAGGAGTAGTAGCAGTAGTAGTAGTTGTTGTTGGTGTAGGTGTTGTCGATGGCGATACTTGAAGTGGTGATGAGTATGCCGGAATAGTGATTTTTCGATGCCTGTGTGATGAATGTTGTTGCGTATGTGTGGAGCGATGTGTATATGACAGTGGTATGATGTGGTAGTTGTGAGTGGATGATGTGTGTAGTTATGTTGGACATGAAATCGTCCCGCGTGGTCTAGCGGTTAGGATTCCTGGCTTTCACCCAGGCGGCCCGGGTTCGACTCCCGGCGCGGGAGCGCTTTTACATCGGACACCATTCTACACAACATTCATCTCTATTTCCACACTGACAAGCATCTCCCGACGACTGGCACTATCTCCGCTCACGTGCCCACACTGTCGGTAACTCCATCTCTCGTCCTCTCTCCACCTGTGTGAATAAACTCACGCCACCCCATCCCAATGTCTGCACAATATTGTCGCCCACTCCCGTACACACTCCCCCCTTCCTCTCTCTCTCTCTCTCTCTCTCTTTCATTCCTCAACCTACAGACTAGTCATCCACACCTGACACAAACGCAACAGACTCGAATTTCGTCACACTAGGTGTGAGCGAAATGTCGCATCACACATTGATGAGCCGTCAATACAAGAGACAATGAGTGCATCAAATTGTCGCCTTTTCTCCGAGCCTGCGATAAACAATACGACTTTCCCCCGAAATTTCCACATTGTGAGGAAGTGTCTCGAAATGAACACTTCCACCCTCCTCTAAATGTCTACTTTTCCCCAAAATTAACACCACCTTCCTCATTGTTTGACATTTTCAGTTGCTTCAGATGTTGAGAATACGCTGTTCACATCACAATTCACACACACTCGCTTCAGTACGTCTCAAGCAACAAACAAAGTGTCATGGGAATTTACACTGAAACGTCGACTACTACTGATCTATGCAAGTCGGGTGATGCTGAGACTCGCCAACTTTGTCTAATCATACAGTAGTATTGAATGATGCTAACAATATTATTAGTTTGTAGTGTGTGTACAAATGTGTCGAGCACACAGGGCTTGCCCCAGCTTTTGAACAAATTAATTAATCCATGCTTCTCGAGTTACACACAGATCTTTCGACTTTGTCAATCATTCGCTCATATCTTGGTTGTTTTTATTCGAGTGTGTATGTGTGCATACTTACTTCACTTATCGCATGTCTGTTTTATTTTTGTCTGACTATAAATGCTTAGTCATGCCTCAGTACATTGAGTTGGTTCACTCGCATTCTCCATTTCTCTTTGACGCTTTGTATTCTCATGTCTGTCTGCACGAACGATTGCTTGAAATAAACTCATCCAACCGAATCCGTATTTGGCTGCTAACTACGGTCGCCTCACAAACGGGGTTCGCCTAAGTATGATATACGGAAACTGAAGGGAAGATTTATTTCATAGCATATTTAATTGTTCATAAATATCGGAGTTAGATGGTGGGCCACTAGAGTGGTGAGTCCTACTTCGAGTTCAACGCAGCCACTAAATGTTATTCACACGATGATTATGATTATTACGATGGTCATCGTCACGTACATATCTGATATGTGAACTCAGCTTGAAGAGTTGTGCGAGAGAGAACAGACGACATTGATTGTTTTGTGCGAATGAGGTGGGATGGTGGTATACTTGGTGTTCACACTATAATGTGTGAATGGATCAAGTGAAGTGACTGCTGGAAGTATATACTGGAAAATATATTGGTCGTTTGACCAGTGGAATTGGATATAGTGTCGAGGTTGCAGGATGTGTATTGTTGACGACTGTTCTGTGAATTGGTGTAGTTGTTTGCTTGTGTCGATGTTGAAATTGATGTTGGATTCGGTATGTTGTGTGTGGGTATGTTGGATGAAGATATGCTTGTGAGTATGAATAAGTAAGTGTGAGTGTATGTGTGGCGTGGAGTTGGCGCCGGAATAGCTCAGTCGGGAGAGCGTTAGACTGAAGATCTAAATGTCCCCGGTTCGATCCCGGGTTCCGGCAGGCTGCCGTCGGTTTTCACCGACACGTTCTGCCACTGTGGAACACCGTTTGCATCACGATAATAACATGTCGCCCTAAGCGTTCCTCACCATCATACGGTCACGTGCTGTGGTTTGTGCTCCGTGGGGCACTACACATCTCCATTCACCACACCTTCACTCACATTCAACAACTCACTCTGCTTCTATTCACTTCTCTCTGTCCTCGTCTGACTTCATTCGACAAATCATCCAATCAACAGTCAGGTCGGGTCAAATGTGGGCCGAAACAGTTCGAGGAGCATGAGCTTAATCCAGTCAGATCCATGAGACAATCTAACATTGGGTCTGACGCTCTCATTGGTACTGTCATCCACTGCATGCTTCATGCATTTCTAGACAAATGCTCCTCATACTCGGAGAATTATCTGTCTGTACGACAATCAATACCATACGTTGTTCGCACACATGTGATAGTAGTATTAGTGGTAGATGAATTGGTGAGTGGTCGGTCAGTACATTCAGCTCGTGGTAGGTTGCAAGTCATGATTGTTGCATGTGGAGATTGAATTTGATGCGAGTTTATTGTGATCGAATGTGTCAGATCACATAGAGATTTCGGTGAACACGTCACGACCAGTACAGACACAAAGCAACGGACATTTGTGGCCTTGCGGTCTGTGGAAGTAGACGGAGAGTAATGTGTTGATGAGTGATGCTGTCCGCAACAACTACGTTTTCGTGATAGTTTGTTAGTCTGCAGATCGGTAGAGTAATCGTGGCTTCGCATTCCAGATAGTGTGATGTGTTGCGCACGATAAAGCGACGGTAATAGGTTTGTGTGTGTGGATGTCGACGAAGGAGTAGTAGCAGTAGTAGTAGTAGTTGTTGTTGTTGTAGGTGTTGTCGATGGCGATACTTGAAGTGGTGATGAGTATGCCGGAATAGTGATTTTTCGATGCCTGTGTGATGAATGTTGTTGCGTATGTGTGGAGCGATGTGTATATGACAGTGGTATGATGTGGTAGTTGTGAGTGGATGATGTGTGTAGTTATGTTGGACATGAAATCGTCCCGCGTGGTCTAGCGGTTAGGATTCCTGGCTTTCACCCAGGCGGCCCGGGTTCGACTCCCGGCGCGGGAGCGCTTTTACATCGGACACCATTCTACACAACATTCATCTCTATTTCCACACTGACAAGCATCTCCCGACGACTGGCACTATCTCCGGTCACGTGCCCACACTGTCGGTAACTCCATCTCTCGTCCTCTCTCCACCTGTGTGAATAAACTCACGCCACCCCATCCCAATGTCTGCACAATATTGTCGCCCCCTCCCATACACACTCCCCCCTCTTCCTCTCTCTCTCTCCCTCTCTCTCTCTCTCTCTCTCTCTCTTTCATTCCTCAACCTACAGACTAGTCATCCACACCTGACACAAACGCAACAGACTCGAATTTCGTCACACTAGGTGTGAGCGAAATGTCGCATCACACATTGATGAGCCGTCAATACAAGAGACAATGAGTGCATCAAATTGTCGCCTTTTCTCCGAGCCTGCGATAAACAATACGACTTTCCCCCGAAATTTCCACATTGTGAGGAAGTGTCTCGAAATGAACACTTCCACCCTCCTCTAAATGTCTACTTTTCCCCAAAATTAACACCACCTTCCTCATTGTTTGACATTTTCAGTTGCTTCAGATGTTGAGAATACGCTGTTCACATCACAATTCACACACACTCGCTTCAGTACGTCTCAAGCAACAAACAAAGTGTCATGGGAATTTACAGTGAAACGTTGACTACTTCAAATCTCCTGGATCAATGGTTTCGGGATAGTAGAGAATGTGAGAGAGGACACAGTGAGCCATTGGAGATCATTTGAGCAAATCGAAATAACCAATGAACCGAAACGTCTAATGGCCTCTGATTCCTATACGATTTTATTCTACGATTGGTATAACTATCTTTGAGGTGGTGGCAAATTTTCTCTGTAACATTTCTGGGTGTCTGAGCTGAAAGAAGTCACAATAATTAGGTGATATGATTTGATGGCGTGACTCTTTATATATATGATTATGATTTTGCAATTTCAATTTCCGTAGTGAGCTTACTTAAAGCAAGTTTCGCTCATGGTTTTTAACGTAGTTTTTCTTACGTGATCATTGGTTGTGGTCCTGTTTTCTGATGTGTTGATTTCGTATTGTGTGCCTGACCATATAATCCCTCTGTTGTATAGAGTTAGTGTAGGTTTTCCGAGTGTGTCGGTCATGCTGTTTTAAAAGCTAATATATTGTCCAGTAATATTCAGGATGTGCTGTTCTGTCAAATGTAATAAGTGTGTCTCCTGTTAGGGACAGATTACCTATATTTTACCCTAAGTTTGCGTAGTGTTTTCATCCTAAATCTGGAAACTCGTATCTCTCGTTCGAAACGCGCGCAATTTAAGAGGATTTTTAGAAATTATTCCGTTTCATATATCAAGTCATAGACTGGTGTTAAGTAGTTATCTAAGACACGAAGCATTGAACAACAGTCTCGTACTAGTTTTCTGACCTTTGTATAAGATAAACTGTTTAGATTTTCCTATGGCATAAGATTATCAACCTTAAATTAACGATTCAATAGGCATACCGCAATCAGCGGAAGATACGAAAAATTGGAATATGGACATAGATTAAAGCATGTTCCATACACGATTGAGTTGTTGCACGCTGATTGGCTCTTTCGTATCCAATCAGCGCTAGTCAATACTGGGAGAGGGAACATTCTAGAATTTTCGCATGTAAGATACTATGAATATACTAACGTTTTGAACTTCTCTATCTTCCATCTAACCTTGTTATTGGAATATAATCTCTTTTCCTGTTCAACCGTGTTCTGATTTTTTTTTTGGGAGAACGTCTCAAGTGAATTGCTGTCCGAGAATACTACTATAAGCATTAGAAATAATTGAATTGTAATAATAAGATAGAACTAGAACACACCTTAACAAACATATAACTTGGTTGTGTTCATAATGTCCTAATAGTTGTACAATTCTGTTTGATGTTTAATCGTTGCTTAAAATTAGTCCATGATGTATACATACTATGAAAATTGAACAAACTTCACACATCTACCCTCACTCATCGCTTTCACTTGTAAACATAAATGTTCATTGAATACAAAACTTATGATTATTTCCAAGCCCTCACATGGAACCCTCAAGGCAAAAGGAAAAGAGGAAGGCCAAAGAATACATTACGCCGAGAAATAGAGAAAGATATGAGAGGAATGAACAACCATTGGACAGAACTGGAGAGAGAAGCCCAGGACAGAGTTGGTTGGAGAAAACTGATGGGCGGCCTATGCTCGATTGGGTGTAACAGGCGTAAGTAAGTAAGTAAAGTTATGATTATTTCATCATGTTCACATTGGAATATGCATTATTTATATTTGTAAAAGCAAAAAAAAAAAGAAAAATTTACTCAGTTAAAAAGAATAAATAGATAGAGAATTGACAAATAAATAATCAATAATACTCAACCAGAAAAAAAACAAACCATATTTTAAAGTCATTTAATTAAGAAGTATAAAAAGGCACTTAGATAAATATGAAATAACAACCCTAACCAAGTGAAGAGAAGTAGTGTATGAACCATTGAGGAGAAAGGAAAGAGAACACAATGCACACCCACACAGAGACACACACACACAAAGAGATTTCTTGATTATGAGCTATCGATTTCACAAACACTTCATAGAAAAACATACACCCACAGACACACACGGAAACTACAATTCTTCTTTTTTCTTGGAAAGACTATTTACACTTACTACTACTAGTCAATAAGAAAGCACGATCAAAAAATAAAAAAAAGACAATAGAAATTAGTCAATAATAATAATAATAATAAACAATATGTTAGTTAACAAACTGAACCCTACCAACTGCCCCAATCATCATCAGCATCACCATCATCATCATCATTATCGGCATCAGCTTTATTCACAATAGATTTCGTTGGTTGCTTTTGTTGTCCATTCAATGATGATTTCATAGGCTTATTCGTCACACACTTAGCAGTAGAAGAAGAAGAAGAACTAGTTTGAATTGGTGATTTCTTCTCTCTTAATTCATGATTTGTTCGTGGTAGTTTTTTTGTCAAATCTGTAGTTGATAATAATTTACCAGTTGATTTTTTTGTCGTTGTGCCTGTTCTTTGTACACTTGAATGATTATTCTTTTCAAGAGTAAGTTTGTCAAAAAATTCATCTGAATTCCAGTCTAAGTCAAGTTTATTTATTGGTGGTGGTTGTTCTTGACTATTCCAATAGGAGGATGTAAGAGGAAGAGTTGATTCCAAGTTATGATTTATGGATGATGGATCGTCATTTATATCTTCGAATATATCATTCATGTCTGTATTCCAATCATCGCCATCGCCATCGCCATCAACATCGTCATTGTCACCATTGCAGTTATTGTCTATAAGATTCCATGAATTCAATTTTTGGCCATCACTCAAAGTTGAGTTGGATGAAGGTAATCGATTAGGTTTATTGGAATTTTCTGAAACTAAAATCAATAATGTTCATGCGTAACAAAAAAAAGTGTGACGGACCATTTGAAAATTAATCAATTTAATTAAATATACAAACCATTCCGCCAGAATAATTATAGATTAATTAGGAGACTATGGTCGTATGTTATGTAATCTGAACAATTCTTAGCATATGTGATCTGCTTTTAACAAGAAAAGACCTGAGCATTGAAGTGACATGTAATGGACGAAAACGTTAAGATCAGATGGAGTAAGTGATCTATTTAAAGACATAGTTTATTAGCAAGGTGTGTATACGTTGTTGTTGGGGACGTTAGATCCGCAGAACTCACTTGGAAAGGTCCTAATTTTGGATTTTATGTTTTCAAGCATGGGCTGATCAGTTGACCTTGAGATAATATTTTCCGCCCGAAAAACCCTAGACTGTCAATGGTTGATGTGTTATTTTAGCACGCTATTTTTGTGGCTCTGCAAAGGACGTTTCTGTGATGTATAAAGAGACTCGAAATTGTGTGCTTGTGACCTCGATTTTCTGGGTGCTTGAAGAATACACTTTCTACACCATATTAAGAATTCTTCTACTTAGTGTGGCCTTGGGACGCTCGGATTAGAGTAGCCTATCGTGTCACTGGGTCGTTTGTCTTCGCTCTTGTTTACCTACTGAGGTGAACTCGTAATAGATCAGGCGGATCAAATGGTGACGTGCATAACAGTTACATTCGGACACCATTTTCAAAACAAGCAGATTCTTGGCTGTCTTCTTTCATATGTCTTCTAGTCTTCAAAACACTTTGATCGCGTCATACATTCGGATCTCACACTCTTCTTTTCAGCAGTAACTTCTAAGTGACACATCGCTGTCGCGATTATTTTAAGCTCGACCCTACTGTGAAAGATCATAGTTTACTAAAGTAAGGAGCGCTAGGTTAGGAATAATGAACTTTTGTTAGAATACCAATATATCTAGTTGATGATCGATGTTAAATATGATAAACTGAGTTTCGTTAACAGATTCTAAATCAAACTGATTCAATCAGTAATCGATTTGAAACAACATTGAAAAAAAAATTCATACAGATAAAAACGAAATGATAACGACCAATACAGACATACTTACTTTCTTTATTGTATAGTTTTTCAGTTTTTTCTGAGCCAATCGAATTTTTGTTCATTTGTGATGCTGACAATGATAAAGAAGGATCTGACATTGTTTGAATATTTGTATCGTAAGGTTTAGTTGTGATTGTAGTTGTTGTAGCTGTTGAAGTCAATGATGATGATGAGGAGGATGATGGTAGAAGACGACTGGAAAAAGATAAAGCAGACAGAGCCCATTGAGTAAGTGCACTGGTTGCAGATGGTCCAGATGTACTCGTAGTAGTTCGTAAAGATTCATCGGAATTAGACGTTTGATTATTGCTGGTTTGATCATCTGTGCCATATTTACTAGCCTTATTGAAGAAAAGTGAAAAGACTACATTAATTGAATAAAATAATTACAACACAATAATGATAGTTAGATATTATTCGAATAAATTGATAAACGAATGATAGCCAATACCTAGTGAATGCATAAAGTGTGGAGAGGAAACTTGGACAACTACAAAAGTCATCATTCAGAAGATACAAGTATTCATTACCAGTTGTCTTTGCAAACTACTGAGGATTAGTTGGCTAGACACTATCAGCAACAACCTATTGTGGGAGAGAACAAACCAGATTCGAGTGGAGGAGGAAATCAGGAAGAAGTGGTGGAAGTGGATAGGACACACAGTGCGAAAAACACAAAACTGCATCACAAGACAAGCCCTCACATAGAACCCTCAAGGTCAAAGGAAAAGAGAAAGGCCAAGGAACACATCACGTCGAGAAATAGAGAAAGATATGAGAAGAATGAACAAAAAATTAAAAGAACTGGACAGGACAGAGTTGGTTGGAGAAAACTGGTGTTGGGCCTATGCTCCATTGAGGGTAACAGGTGTAAGTTCTTAGGGAAGCTGAGCCAATATAACTTACTAAGTGTAAGCACCTGAGAGCTGTTGTTTGTACCAATAATGTAAGACATCTTTCTATGTTAAATCCTGTAACTTTCAGAAGCCATACACCTTAAGGGCGAAGGCTTTTTATACTACGTGGTTGATGGTTTCGACTAAAGTAGATGAATAACAATTCAAATATGTCATTATGGCTATTGAAACCAGAGTAGATGAATACGGAGTATGTTTGTGATATTGAACGACAGTAACAAGTTATTTACTATTGTGTTGATCAGTCTCATAAATTGAATACTAATATATCCACTCTTTATGTACAAGCCCAAACAAGTACTTACATAAGAGAACCAATTATTGTGAAGAGAGGAATAAAGAAATGAAAAACTACATAAGTTACTTTTAGAAACATTAGCACATTTAATTCCTAATCTGTAATTACTAATATTTTAGCTCACGAGACCGCCTTAATCACAAGCTTTTATTTAATCTATAAACTAGTGTCATATTTTCTAAACTAAACTAGAACGTAAACATGATTTGAACCGAAATGGAGGCCATAAAAACATTTTTTTATGAGGTATAAAGTGACTAAAAAAATATAGTTTCATTGAAATCATGAACCGACCACCATTAAAAACTTGTAGTCACTGGACGACCGTTTCGTCCTATCACAAGACTCGTCAGCAATGCTCACGCACAATGCCACAAGAGGGAATCGGGTCCAGGACCTTCGGTCTATGAACGTGGACACCTAACTTCTCAACCACTGAATAAGTCGTCTAACGGTATTAGTGTCTGACTTCAACCAATCTATAACACTGCACGACCATTAACCACCGTCTTTTGCAGATGCCGACCCAGTGGTCGAGACGTTAGGCGTTCATGTGAGAGAGCGAGAGCCCTGGACTCGATCCCCCCTCGTGTGGTTGTTGGTTAGCATTGTTGAGTAGTCCCATAATATAAACGAAACGGCCACCCAGTGATTGCAAGTTTTCAATGGTGGAGGTTGGTTCAGGATTTCAACTAAACTTCACAATATCCACAACTTCATACTGATAAATATACAGTTTTATCCGATTGGTAATGAATTATAATACGTTTTATGTGTCAGAGCTAAATATACGCATTGGTTAAAAATGAAATAAGTATAAACAAAAGATACAACCTTTTGCATGTCAACCGCTTAAACCAATCAATAATTTATGGAGACAAGCGATTAATTTCATAAAAGTTAACATAGAATTGTTTTTTTCCACTCTAATAAATGACTATGCTTTGCTGAAAGTTTGATTGTATAAACAAACAAAACTCATCATTAAATAAGGTAATTGATTATTATTGTAAGATGAATAAGAATGTGGTGCATATTAAAGAAAATCTACAAGTTCTCTAATGTGACCACTTAGATCACAGATTTTACTTTCAAATTCATAACACACTATTGCTCTCGTGAGCTGAAGCTGTTCACTTGTTAGCCGGACATTAGATTGAGTTGTTGCACGCTGATTGGCTCTTTCGTATCCAATCAGAGTTAGTGAATATTGGGGGAACATTCTAGAATCTTCTCATGTAAAAAAAACTATAAATGTACTAACGTTTTGGAGTTCTCTGACTTCCTTCTAAGCTTGTTATTGGAATATAATCTCTTTTCCTGTTCAACTGTGTTCTGATTTTGGGGAGAACGTCTCGAGTGAATTAATGTCCGAGAATACTAAACATTAGGAATAGTTGGGTTGTATAATAAAGAGAGAATTATAACCTGACTTTTTCTGTCTTTCTATACAAGATTATGGAATTTCGCAATAAACACAAGGTGAAAACTGAAAATAATTTTAAGAAGGAAATAACAACACATGTAGTGCAAATATATACATGTGTTTTATCAGATGATTTTGAAATCAACAAACAAACAAACGAAAAATAATACAATACTTAGTCATACACATCGTACATAATAATAATAATCTTTTTAGAGTACAATGATTGTCATACACACACATAAAGTAAGACATGTATCATCATCTGTTTATCTATTATGTGATTGGTTATGTGAATACAATATAGAACTAATTCTATTTTATCTAATACAATTTTAGTAATAGCAATATGAAGAACTAAACATCTGTCTAAACAGATCGATACAACTCTCAACTGTGCTGATGTGAGTTAAAATAAATAAAAACAATTAATTAGAATTGGAAAAAAAAAACAACACAAAGGTCATTGAATTTAAGCACAATGTATTTTTTTGGAATGAATTGTAGATAGATTGTTACAAGAAACTATGTTCTTTCTTGACAAGATTTCATAGTTTGGCTAATTTCAATAATGATTATGATTGTGAATTAGTCATTGTTAGATCACCATTAGAAACCTGAAAGCGCTGGAAAGTTGTTTCGTCATAGTATAGGACTCATTAGCAGTGCGCATCCATGACTTCCGAACCCGGTAGTCGAACCCATGACCTTTGGCCTCGCGCGCGAATGTGAGTCCCGTATTAGGATGAAACGATCGTCCAGTACTTCTAGGTTTCTAACGGTTTCAATGAAAAACAACAATCACTATAAATCTACAGTGAAAAATGATATGATTATCGATCACTTGAAAAAACCTTGTGTAAACGTAACCAGCAAATGACACACAGCGATGAAGTTTTCCTATACTGTGCTACATGCTGTCCAAAGAATTTTACCGGAAATGACAATTTTTTTTTTGAGAGAGAGAGAGAATTCAAAGCTAAATTTGTACCAGACCATAGTTTTGATAATTCAATGAATTAAAGGAATACACGGAATACCACACTACAGCAGCTGTGATAGTCAATTATCTAACACAACTTGTATGCGGAATTTTTTAAGGTTGCAATGTTACAGTAAACTTTTAATATTTTAACTTTTAACATTTTTTAAACTGTATATTCTTTGTGGTTTTATCTTATCTTATCTTTTCTTTTCTTTCTTGATAACACCCAAGTAAGTTACAATAACAGTTAATCTTAAGGACACGGCTTAAAATTGTTTGCAACTGTCAATTTAGTTTACTGTATAAAATTCAAACAGTATAAGGAATTCAATATCAAATCTTAGTTATTTTATGATATTTATTTGAATGTATGTCAATTTTATGTTATACATGTATAATAAGCATAGTTGAGCATAACGTTGACTGACAGACAGTAATTTAGCTGAAACAGAAAAAAAAATTAACCTATTTAAAGGTTGTTGCACCTCACATACAATGAATTAGTTGACCTTTGGTTTTAAATGTAACTGTAACAACACGAATTGAACACTAAGATTGGAAACAATTATACGCAGCATGAAATAGTCAATATTTAAACATGTGAATTGGATAGATGATTTCATGATGTGACTATGGTGTACCATATACTATTAGATAAATAATGATGACTTTATAGATGCTATAGGTGCATAATAAGAGAAAACACAAAGGCTTACAATAATTTTACACAACCAATCAATCAACAGCAACGTAGAGCCTCTTACGTACGTACATCAGTTCAAGTTGCCATACCACATTAGCATACAGATGTAATTGTCGATTCAAATCCCATAGTAGTAGACATAAAAGTTTAAGCAGTAATCAGGGAGATTAGGGTTCGAAGATATTATTCAACAAGTAGAATCTAGTGAAATAAACTTGAAAAAAAATAAAGTGGTGAGGAAATCAGAAGGTTAGGACTTCAGGGAACACAAAGAATGAATGCACCTGCGCCATCGCAAACGGTTTTGGGCCATGTCATTCAAGGTCTCTAACCATCGGTTACTTTCGTCTCGCGGACTCCAACCAGGTAGCCTACATCTACCAACACCACTCAGTCCACTTGTCAGTGATTTCACGGATTTCTGCCATGTTTTGGTTTGGCCGCTCCTAGCTTTCGTCCAACCTACTCCTACACCACAAAACATAGCTCGTCGAGGCAGTCGATGGTTGGGCATTCGTATCACATGTCCCAACCACCCCAACTGATGACGTTTCAATACTTCATCTTTTGATCTACCAACCTTACATAGTACTCGATTTCTAACTATACCATTGTTTACTTGGTTGTCCCAGAATATACGAGCAATGCTTCGAAGACATCTATGGTCAAATACTCATAACCGAAGCTGCTACCTTGATCTGGTGGTCGGGCTTGCCTATCGTGATGACCCAACCGAGCTATACTGGCTGGAACATATGTTCCTGTGGGTTCTACGATGCCTGGCAGGTCGTCTGGAGAACGATGAGACTAAAAGCAGCTACTCAACGTCTGAGGGCGAAGTCGTACTGCTGACTGCAGAGGGGTGTGACAGCAGTAGGGTGTTTCCCTCGGACAACCAGCAACCAGCCTTCTCACAAGGAAGGAAGGGTTAGAAAAGGTCGACCCGAAAAATGTCACACCTCACCCTACCTCACGGATTTCCGTCTCCGGCGGTAAGGGTGCACACTAAGGGCTTTCAAGAGCGGAGCTAATACTCAAAAAACCCTTTATAAGAAGGCCATGCGTGACCGGCCTCGAGCAGTTGTCCCTTGGACTCTATGGTCACGCTCCCAGGTCTGTAAGTTAAACGCTTATTTATCTTCCTTTTCAGGTTCCTCAAGAAATAACCTTCCATGGTGTGGGCAGCCGGGAAGTGACAACTGCCCTCATACACCCGTAACAGCACACGAGACCGAATTGGTCAAAATCAAATCCTCCCTACACCCCCTAATACCTCTCTTAAATACTAATAACCTACGAATTTTTTCCACTCTTACCGACCATGTTTCGCGTCCAAAAGAGAAACAATCATTTTACGAATAATTCATACTATGTTAATTCCTGAAACAAACAAACAAACACAAATATCCACTTACATGTTCCAATCGATCTAGTATTCCATGTATAGCACGAAATGTATCATCACGTACTGATCTCTCTGTATCAGTTGTTAAGAATGATAAACAAGGTAGAACTTTTCCAGCTAACAAATCATTTGTATAATATTCCTTAAATAGGAAAAAAAATAAATAAATTAGCAGTGAGTATTGTTAGTTATTAGAATTTTCTCTTTGCAAATTAATTCACCGAAATGATAAGAGTTCAACTATTTTCAATAAATATTATTGTTAAAGACAAGCGTGAAGTAAGTAACATAGAACTGACTACCTAATTAGTTTGTACGATGATATAAAGCAGTCGCAAAACAAGAAATATACATATGTACTGCTAGTAAATCAGAACTAACATTGAAGAGTGGTGATTTAACACCTACACAAAAATCAAAGTAACGAAATTAACCATTAAAGAAGAGATATATGAATGAAAAAAATGTATAACATAGTGTTACGTCAAACGATTTGAAATATCAAGTCTGGTAGCTATATATATTGAATATACCACTAATATTAGCTAAATAATCGAAATAAATTTAGAATAGGTATTTAAAACAATGTGACCTAGTGAAAAAGTACAATGTCAAGTCTACTAAGTCACATGTCTGAGAACTTATTCCAAAATTCTTCAATGCAATGTACTAATTAAAGCATTCATCAACAGTTGTGAATAAATTTTATTTTGTAAAAATGATACTGAACTATTTCCGATATGAATATTTTGTCGATATTGATAACTAGTTATATGATTTCAGGATCTACCTGATAATATTCAAACGATAATTAATCCAAAAAAAAAACCAAATCCTACATTAATAAGAGAAATTAAACTGCGTAGTGTCATCAGTCAGTTTTTTAAATGTTTTCAAACAAGTACTTGTGATTATCTACTTTATGAAGCATGTCAGTCAACTAACCGAACGAATAACTCAGAAAAATTAGTGGTGAAAAGTATCTCTACTACAAGATAATTCAGTAGTATAGTTATTTTATTGAAAAAAAATTGTAAAGTGACAGAGAAATACGGAAAAAATCATGATTTTACACAAGGGTAAGCAGTTACTCAACGTTTGAGACTCAGTCTATTCATTCTATTGCAAGGGCGATTATTTTTCCAAAAATTTACATACCCGATACCACATGACTTAATGAATATCATTTGTGCGGAAGAGCTAACTGTAACCTAAATGAATGGTAATAATTTTGGGATGCATATATATAGATTTTAGAAGCATGTGCTGATATCCTGATAAGTCAGGGACATATTTTTAATCCGAAACAATCAATAATTCACTCTTTTCTCATGTTGTGAGATTTATGTAGGTATATATTTAAAATTTTCTCATAAACAGTAAATTACACGTGATTCGTTAGAAAATAAGTTTCACATAGTTGATTAGTAGTAGACCTTGTTCATATCATTGTAGTTTAAAGGATAAAAGGAGAAATGTAAAAACAGGTGCAGTTTTTATAAAATACACAGAATAATAATTAAAAAGATTTAGTATGTTAAGTGTATATAAAAAATTCAAAATAATTGTTTAATTCCTTTTTAGTATCAGTAAATTATTGCAAAAAAAACTCCGACTGATCCAGCGTGGATTTAAACTATCGAGTATTAAAATCTGCTAGTCAAAGAGAATACTATTGGATTTTGAGGAATGTAAGCAATTCGGAACCAGGTAATCAGTGTTTATCGATAAAACATAGAATGTAGTGAGTCTATAACATTTTTAATTTTAAGAATTCTAAGTTAAAATTTTCATTTTAAACCAAAATAACAGGATTTGTTCGTGACAACTTTCAGGCTCATCGTCGAGACAACACACAAGCAAATATTATGGATTTGTCAGTTAGAGCTTTGGAGATTTGTGTTTTTGCACATTTGAAATCATCAGTCAATCATTGTTAGACAACCATTAGAAACCTGGAAGCACTGGACGGCCGTTTCGTCCTGGTATGGGACTCATCAGCAGCAGTGCGCATCCACGACTCCTGAACCTCGCAGGATTCGAACCCTGGACCTTTGGTATTGTGCGCGAACGCTTAACCATCGGACCACTGGGCCGACATCCAACGGTATTAATGTCTTACTCTGATTGATCTAGGGATTTTGCGCGACCTCACCCATTTGTCTTTGGTAGTTACTGCTTACACCCAACAGGGTTGAACTCCATTGGTCACGTCTTCTCAACTAGAACTCCAAGAATTTCCTCACGAAGAAGCTGGTCACTAGTGAGCACTGTTACGATATTTTCAGTTAGAGCTTTGGAAATTTTTGTTTTTACACATTTGTTTTGTTTTTTTAAAAATATTAGCAACTAAAAAAGTATGCATCATGCAAAGGCATGTTTCTTACTTGTGTAGCAGCTAAAGCAGTTATAGCGGCTTGACGATTAGGCAAGAACGGATCACGAGTTGCACGAAGAAAAGCACCCAACATTGGACCTTGTTGTACTTGTTTTGAAAAATATGATGCTAATTTTGCTAAACATACAGTTGCATTAGTACGAATTCCACCTTGTGTATCTCGTGCCTAGAGATTTAAGATAAATGCGAATAAAAAGGAATGAACATGATGTGTTATGTTAGTAAACAATAATTATCCAACTCTGAGAACAAAATTCTACTAAAATAATACTTATAGTATATTTACTGTTATGACTCGTCAATTGATATGCTTGAACTGCTACGAGTTCACGTTAATTAGTAAACGAGGGCGAAGACAAGTGATCTAATGACACGACAGAGTACTCTAATCCGAGCGTCCCAAGCCCACACTAACAGTATCAAAAAGTTTTGATATGGCGTAGAAAGTGTATTCTACAAGCACTTAGAAAATATGATGGTTTGTACAGAAGAAGAAGAGAAGCATAAAACTTTACAGACAATGCATGTTTATGCAGTTAGGTTGACCATGAATACTAACCAATAGGAAAGAACATTTAGAAGTATGTGAACTTCACAGTTTAGGACGACCTTAAATATTGATCAATAGGATTAGACTCACAAAATAATTTCATTAGGATACTTGATGGATATCCTAACATTTATATATCACACAGAAAAGATTGATACAAGAGGACTAAGAAATGTACTACAGGTTTGACGTGATATCCAGAAAAAATAATTCGGTGGTCGGCAGCCTGTGCTACACATTAGGCATAACAGGCGTAAGTAAAAATTAAAAAACAATAGTTAGTCCCTTTGATAAATTTGAATGAAGCGATGAGAAGACGACGGTTACTATAAATCATGAATTTTGAAATTTAATAGATTGATAAAATGTTTAATTTACAAGAAGGAACGTGAACGTCACTTAAAAACACATGATTGTCATTGAATTACTATTCAGAAAATCATTGACATCACTCTCATTACTTTAGTGCTATTTTCGACACCATGTTGATGATGATGATGACTTTTTATTGTAATGAAGCCATGAAAACTTTTTGTTTGATGTATTACTTTTAAATATGCAACTTAGCGGTGTCGGTTATTTACAAACCAAGTAAAAAATCTTGAAAACATGTACATCGATTCAGGCTACCACACACAACACATTAGAACAGTGAGATGAAATTATCAATATGATAATAAAGTAGCAGAAGTATGATTAATAATTAAAAAAAAACATCAGGTATAGAAAATGCGATCAGTAAAACGTAAACAATGATTTCGAAACAAACGATCCGAAGGAAAATAAACTGAATGTATCTGAGACATGTCACCTAATGTTTAGGTAGGGATGGCAAATCAATTGATGAAGTAGTGAAACTTCATCAGTTGAAGTGGTTGGGACATGTGTTACGTATGCCTAACCACCGACTGCCGCGATGAGCTTTGTTTTGCAGTGTAGGAGTAGGTTGGAAGAAAGTTAGGGGCGGCCAAACCAAAACATGGCACCAATCCATCAAGTCACTGACAAGTGGACTGAGTCATGTTGGTAGATGTAGGCTACGTGGTTGGGGTCCGCGAGAAAAAAGTCACCAATCGTTAGAGACCTTGAACGGCATGGCCCAGAATCGTTTGCAATGGTGCAGGTGCATCCACTCTTTGTGTTCTCTCTAATTCTAACCTTCTGAATTCCTCATCATCTCTACCTTTCTTTTTCTAAGTTTATCTTACTAAATTATACTTCTCGAATAATATCTTCGCTCCCTAATCTTCTTCATTACTGCTAATACTTCTACTATCGCTATCACCCTTGGATTTGAACTGACATTTGCGTCTCTGTGCTGATGTGGTATGGCAACCTGAACTGATGTGTTTACGTACGAAGTTCTGCGTTGTATCTGTCTGTCTGTCTGTCTATCACCTAATGTCTCTAACTATTGGTTGAGATAAATGAGCAGATACCAGGCAAGTAGTTTACATCAATCAACATAGAGCTCTGCCCAACAATCATTCACTGATGCTATTTACTTTGGCTTGATCTCTCCAAGCTTCTGTATGAACAGTTTCTGCAGTAGTCAATATTGTAAGTCAAGGCGGAAGATAAATAAGAATATGATTTATTGAAGGAATGTAAGTTGCTGAGTGGTTTCGGATGTGGAATGTTAGCAAGTGATATGTTAGGATATTCACCAAATATCCTAAGAGTACTATTTTTGGAAGTATAATCCTATTGGTCGATTTCTATTGGTCAAAATTATGGTTGTTTTAACTGTCAAAGTCAAATACTTCAATGTTGTCTCTTATTGGTCATCCGGACTGTCAATGTCATTTCAAATGTTCTTTTCTATTGGTCGTCCTAAACTGTGAATGTCACAGACTTTGATGCTCTTTCCTATTCGACGTAAATGTATAAATACGCACTATCTGTAAGACTTCATGATTCCGAATCCGTTTCTTCCTGCCTATCTCTCTTCTGTACTCGACCCAATAAACAACTCTATCCCACGGTGTTGCGTTCTGATATATAGGAGATTTAGAAATGGTATTTCGGGTCGTATTGGGATATTTGAATTTGGACGCCGCTAGGACTGAATAGCTATACGTAGCAGCATTATAACATGATGTTAAGCAAGAAATTCAAGCCTAAAGCAATCTCTACATGTACCCTACAAAATAAGAAATACTTCTGCAGACACTCATTTAAGTATGCGTGTTCCCTAATCTATATAATTTAATTAGTACTGAATCACAAGACCTTGGGAAACTAAATGATAACTTATTTATGGAATAAGTAGTATATGAAGTTACATTAAAATATATGATTATCCACAAATTCTATAAATTATCACTAACTTGTAATGTTGTTATATGTTTTAATAAATTCTCATTGAGTAGTTTTGTTGAAAGTTTCGGTGCTAAATGAATCATTGCACGTACAGTGGCTTCACGTACAACTGGATGTGTATCGGTGAAACCAGCGGAGACTGGACCGAAAATTTGTGTTTCTATACATTTTGTTTGTAAATGTTGTACAAAATCCGGTAAATGTTCCAAAAGGCGTACACGTGTTGCACGTTCAGGTGATGAGAATAATTTTATAAGACATGGAAGAACATAAGTTTGAAAATCATTCTCTGATAATAAAGGAATAAGACGTAGTACAGGGAGAAGAGCTTCAATGCCAGCTGATCCATAACGTAAACCATTCACTAAATGAGGCAGTATTTTATGACGACATACATCATCTGGAAAACTTGTTACTTGTGTAGCGAGATTTTTTAAAAATATTGATTTTTCCTACAATTGGACAGAAGTAAATAATCAAAGTAAAAAGTAACGCAAGTGAAGAAGTGCTGAAAAACCAATTGCTACTGATGAAAATTTTCTTACCGACTACGACTACTACTACTACTGTGGTACGTGCTACTTATAAGTAGTATATGACGCGAGTAAAAACGTAATGTCTGGCAGCAGAAGATGGGGGAAGATCAAGAAAGGAAGAGTGGGAACACAATGGAATTTGTATGAAACGCATGAATAGTGACAATGTCAGACAATGGATTGAAGATTTGCAAATTAACGGTTACGATATGGTTTTCCTATTTTACAGAGTAACTCTGTAATTTTCGTTAAATACAATTCGGTTGCCTTCACCTGTGTTCTCCTTCACTACACTACTACTACTACTACTATATAAACATCATTAATTAGATTGTAGTGAGTGCTGTCACGTCTAGCTCACAGGGCTCATCCTAGCTTTCGGACAAATTAATTAACCCACTTGTCTTCTGACCTTGTCAGTCATTCGCTCATATCTTCGTTGCTTTTATTCGTCGTGTGTGTGCACGCCTAGTTTGTTTATTACATATCTGGCTATAAATTCTTAGTCATGGTTCATTGAATTGAGTTGGCTTACTTGCCTTTTCCGCTTCACTTTGCTTGTATGCTTTTCATTATCAAGTCTGCATGAACGATTGCCTGAAATAAACTCATCCAAACGAATCTGTATTTGGCTTCTCATTATCGCTTTCGGACAAACTGGCTTCGCCTAAGTATGATATACGGAAAGGGATAGGAAGATTTATTTCGTTGCACACTTGGTCATTCGTCCACATTGGTGTCCAGTCTTGACTGGCTAAAATGGTAAGCTCGACATGATGGTCTGAGAATACCCGATGATTACCGAGAATTCCCGAAGTCGAACATAATGTAACATGAAGAGCTACGTTGACAGAAAAGCTTTGGATCTTACTGGATAAGAATTAACAAGATCATAATTCAGTTGCTATAACTCAAGTGTTTGGAAGAAATCAAGTTTAATTTAGAATTGTTATGGCAGATACTTAAGAGACTCGAATATAGTTGAATTTATTGTCATTGTCTGAACAACTGTCACATATCTTATTTATGTATTCATATATGTATATATATATATATATATATATATATATATATATATATATATATATATATATATAATTAACACGAAATACAGACAATCTAACTTCAACTAATCATAATTTCATATTGTATCAGTGTTTCAAAACAAAAGATGCTGAGAGCATGAATGATGCAAGAGCTTTTTCAACTGAAAAAAGGTCATAATTTAAGAAAAAATTCAGAGTTTATCAATGTAGTACGCCTTGCAGATCGATAAACATTGACAAAAAAACAAAACAAAACATATAATCGCATAAAATCAGACACATATTGATTCTACTGTTAATGATGTAAGAAACACACTGAGCTTGAGCATTGTGTAATCCAATTATTAGAAAAGTAGACACACGATTAATTGATTGATTCAAATAAGTGGTAGTTGTTTTTTAGTTGATAACAATTTATGGGTGAAATTAATTATTCATTGATGAACGACGTTGGAACAATGATTAGGCATAGATTTCAGAGTGCGGTGGAAGTGGATAGGATACACACTACGCGAAAAGCACCTAACTGCGTCACAAGACAAGCCCTCACATGGAAACCTCAAGGCAAAAGGAAAAGAGGAAGGCCAAGGAACACATGACGCCGAGAAATAGAGAAAGATATGAGAGGAATGAACCAAAATTGGACAGAATTGGAAAGGGAAGCCCAGGACAGAGTTGGTTTGAGAAAACTGGTTGGTGGCCTATGCTCCATTGGGGGTAACAGGCGTAAGTAAGTAAGTAAGTATAGATTTCAGAGTATGTTTTTTTTTCATATCATAAATGACCATGACACAACATTGATCGATCGATTTTCCAATACAATTCGAGTATAAAGCTATGCAGAATTATAAAATACCCGTGAAATCTAGAAATAATAAATTTTTCGAATGTAATCATGTTCAGAAAAAAGAAAAAAGCAAAACGTGTTTATTCAATGTTTGACCATATTTTCTTGATCGATAAGTTTTATCATAGTCAAACCGATACAACATGTGTGATTCCAGACCTTAGTCATTATAAAAACACTATATGATGTCATGTAACTTATAATATAGCAAGCATAAGGTTTCTGTAGTCACTTAGGTGTGGGTAGGGGCTGGTGACAATAATTGGTCGTTTAAACAGTAAATAAGTGAATTCAGATTGGAACCTGTGAGCCAATAATAACTAACACTTAACGCACAAAACTTGTATGAAATCATACAGTTATAACAAAGAACAATCACATGTGAGAATTTTACTTACAACTACAGAAACAAAATAAAGATATTTCTTACCATACTATCTTTTAATTCAATCTCTTCTAAAAATAACAATGTATCCACATAATCATTAGCCAGAAATCCTTGTTTTTCTGAATTACGAGCTGATTGAAGGAACTGGGACACAGTGAATCGTTTCACGCCACTTTTTGTAGCAGCACTTTGAGCAACAAGACGTCGATAATCATGTATTAATGCTTTAGGAATTCTTTTTGAATAACTGGATTCAAGTAGTTGAGTACGATCTGTTAAAGTGGAAGATGGATTAAATATTTCCCATATTAAACAGCCTAAACCCCATGAATCAATAAGACGATTGTCTGGAGGCATATATGGATCTATGGTGGAAATGTAATAGGAAAAAAAACAAACTTCATCATGAATTTACATAGGCAATCATTTATTGAGAAGTTGAATAAAAAAAGACGAACAGTGTGTATATATAAAACTAATGGAAAGCAACTAGTCATTTATATCAGTCAGTCAGTCAGTTGCAACGTAGAACTTCGTACGTAAGTACATCAGTTCATGTTGCCATACCACATCAGCACAGAGGTATAATTGTCAATTCAAATCCAATAGTAGTAGAGGTAGTAAGGGAATTAGAAGTAATCGGAGAAGTTAGGGTTAGAAGATACTATTCAAGAAGTATGATTCAGTGAGAAAAGTTTAGAGAGTCGAAACTAGAGGTGTTGAAGAATCCAGAAGATTAGGGTTTGAGAGAACACAAAGAATAAATGCACCGGCGCCATTGCGAACGGTTTTCAGCCATGTCATTCAAGGTCTCTAACCATCGATTATTATCATCTCGCGGACCCCAACCATGTAGTCTACATCTACTAACATGACTCAGTCCACTAGTCAATGACTTCATGGATTTCTGCCATGTTTTGGTCTGGCCGCCCCTAGCTTTCTTCCAACCTATTCCTACACTACAAAACAAGCTCGTCGAGGCAGTCAGTGGTTAGGCATACGCAGCACATGTCCCAACCACCTCAACTGATGAAGTTTCATTACTTCATCTATTGATCTGTCATTCTTACCTAGCACCCGATTCCTAATAACAGCGTTGCTTACTCGGGTGTCCCAGGATGTACGAGCAATGTTTCGGAGACACTGATGATAGAAAACCAATAACCGACGAATATCTTCTACTCTCACTGGCTATGTTTCACAGCCATAAAGTAAGACGGAGCGAACTACTGCGCAGTACACTCGTCTTTTAATCAGCAAACGGATATCTCGCCTACGCCATAAGTGACGCAGGTTGGCAAAAGCCAATCGAGCCTTCTGTATCCGAGCTGAGTCATTTATAACATTTATGGTAGAAAACTCAATCATAAAACTCAAGTGGTACTCAATACAACTTGACTGTTAGGAGATGGTGGCTTTGTGATTACAATACCCGATCTTCAATTAGTGATCTGTTGATTCAAATCGCATTTCACCTAGTTCAGGTTTGGATAGTATCATTTATTCTTACATAAACTTTGTGGCTTAGATTGTAGTGAATGAATCTGCTTATATTTCGGTAGATTGTTTACACTGACTTTATTAGTGTGTGCGGTTGGACTAGTTAATTATGAATACAGAACTACTTTGAGATGATGGAGAAAATTTGTAGCTCAGGCGAATGATTGTGGTGGTGTTTCGTTCTCTGAGCTGGATGTTTTGATTGTGGAGCTTTCATTGTTCTTCTGAACAATGTCATCAGCACAAACTTCAGATAAAAGTGAAGTATTCGAATTTCTTCACGTTTGACCCGTAACTTGTTTTGTTAACCTCGATCTTGATTGGTTGATGTTGACCTGAAATCTGTGGTTGTTTGCAACTTTGTTTTGATTGTAGCACTCTTTTGATCTGTTTCTTGATTGCTGATTGACCTGAGTGCTAAACTTCTAAAAATTCTCTAGGGTTCTTTGTGCTCCACTTATCCAGTATTTCCACAGTGTTCAAATCGAACCTATGTCCATAGTTGTCAGTACGTAATGATATAAGCGAAGAAAAGTCATGGCGTTTGACTGCTAACTGATGTTCACATAAACGAAGCTGGAGAAGACGTCCACTTTGTCCTATGTAGTGTTTTTCACAATCTGAACAATTTAATTTGTAGATGATATTTGGCTTTTCTTCATTTGTCATTTTGTCCTTTGGTCTACATAGAACTGATTAAAGTGATTTTGTTGGTTTGTGTGCTACAACTATTGCAAATAGTCTCAGTAGTCGTGCTGTAAGTTTCAATATGTCTCTTATGCATGATAGGATGATCCGTTTATTGGTTTCTGTACTTGATTTCACTTCTGTTAACGATTTCAGTTGATGATTTTTAATGAAATTGCGTATATAGCCGTTCTTTTGGAAGGTAGTCATTAGATATTTTTCTTCGTCATAAAAGATGAAAACTAATTCCATCTCATTTTATTGAATACTTTCAAATAAAAAGGTAGTCTGAATGATATTTTAATGAGACTTTTTAAAGACACCTTACTGCTTACTGAAATTCATCACTAAAAAGGCTTTTTGGCTGGAAACTGAAGCCAACACTGTCTAAAATTAGCCAGTACTCTGATCCCAATCAGTATGAATCAGGCTTATGCAAATTTGCGTCACCCATGGTGCAGATGACACGTCCATTTGCTTATTAAAGGAAGAGTATATTATAAACCAGTTCATTCTGTATTACTTAATTGGTGTGAAAATCATCTTAAGAAGTGAGAAAGTATGTGTAGTTTCCTAATGCTTTCAAGATCAGGATACAACTTCGTATCAACGAACACGACGTATAACTAACGATACAATAACAGGACAATCTAGGCTATTCTTCTGCACCTCGATCCAGCTAACTAAAGGAAGAAATGCAGAGTCAGCTGGCAGAATATACGATCCACAAGAAGCCCGGAACGAACAAACCCTTCAAATGGGAGACACAAACTAAAAGTAATAACGGGTGCTTTTGGCGTGAAAACAATAGGTTCAAGTTTCCATAAACAAATCACAAAATTCAGAAGTTTACAAAGAGATTTCCCCAATACATATGACCACACATATTTAGTCACTGCAAGAAAAGTCTTAACCACTTCCTTCTTGCGCCAAATGTGTTTTTTTTGTGAGATTGTGAAAACGAAAAGCGAATGTTTGGCAGTTTATCCAGGTTAGTGGGTATGGAGGACCCACCTCTAGGTGGCTTGGAATACCCCGCTTCCAAACAAATGGTGCAAATGAGCTTCAGGATCGTTACCGAGCGAATGGTGTATGAATCTATTGTTGGTGATCGGCTACTATGGGACTGCATCTCCTTACGTTACTCTATTGCTTTGTGAATTAGATTTTTGGGTCAAAGGTTATTAAAATTATTACTAGGTTTAGAGCTTATTTTCTAATTCCTTATCAAGTTGACCTAAACTTTCTCTTATTCAAATTGATTTTTCCCGATTAATACTTGAATGACTCCCACATTTTATAATAAGCTTTCTATATAGTATGTTGTCTATGAACGAATACAATTTATTATTAACTAACTATGACAAGATTAACATTGAACATTATTTCAATGTGCGGTATTTACTAACAATCAAATTGAAAAGAAAAATGACCAAGTCACAAGCACACACACACGCACACACATACACAACGAAGAAAAACAAGCAAATAACAACAACAACAACAACATTGGTAGACATTCATTCACCTGTGGTATTTGCTTTGACAAAACTTGCTGTTTGTCGAATAGATGGTGGTGGTTCATTAATAGGTCCAACAAAATCTAAACCGCCTAATTTCCATTCACCAGCTGTAGTTACAAATACACTATCTAAACGTACAGCATTATGTGCTAATTTTCCATCATCATTTAAAAAAATCAATGCTTTGGCGATCTAAACATGAACAGAAAGAAAAAAATGGATATCAATGAAAAGATTAACTTTATGATGATAATTTCTTAACTCTATTGTTCAGTTATCAGTGATTAAAGTATAGCCTATGAGAGATGAGAGGTGGTGGCTCAAGTTCTCATACTACATTAGCACAACTAGGTGAAAATAACAAGATGAAAACCCAAAATAGATCGGAATAATGTAATAGCAATCACAATAGGATAGACTAGACATTGAGAATGCAGTTCGAGAAGACAGAATAAAGACATATGTATGAAAGAATATTGAAATTCAAGGTTGAGAGGAAGATAAAGAGTGAATGTACTTTCGCAATCATGAACGATTTTAAGTCATTTTACCTAAAGCCTCCAACCATAGGTTGCTGTTACTATTCGTTGAAAATGAGTATATCTGAAGGAAGTCTACAAACTCAATACATAACCTACTGAAAAAATATTAGGAATGATCTTTATAAATATTTGACTTTCAAGTTACCTTTGTATCCTTCAATGCTATTGGCTCAAAATCATTGATAATGATAGATGAAGTTATTCTTCATCTTCCTTGATAGTTTAAACATCTTATTCACTAGTTTTTTTTTGTACTGATTACATTTTTGATGTTATTTATTAAGAATTATGTGAAGTTCCGTGTTATGCAAGTTGAAATTGTATTAACAATTGTAGTTAATTGGACTTTGCAGTACATAGAAAAGATACAAAACGTCTAAAGGATAAATATTTTAGTTAGAATATAATTGACAACAAGCGAAATAAAACGAAAGTAGAACTTTATAATTTCAATTCAAAATGCTGAACGTGAATCTTCACATAAAAATATCAACTATTATAGAGTAGCAGAGAAGCATTTATTTCAAAATCTACTGCAGGAGTGACATTGTTCTCATTAGTGACAAGACAGAAGTAATTACAACACGCATATAATCAATCAACCAATAGCAACATAGGACTTCGTACGTACATCAGTTTATGTTGCCATACCACATTAGCACAGAGATGTAATTGTCAATTCAAATCCAATAGTAGTAGAGGAAGTAAAGGTAATAGCAGTAGTCGGAATGGTTAGGATTATAAGATATTATTCAAGAAGTAGAATCTAGTGAAATAGACTTAAAAAGATAAAGATAAAGTGATGAAGAATTAAAAAGTTTAGCTTTTGAGAAAACACAAAGAATAAATACACCTGCGCCATTGCAAACGGTTTTGAGCCATGTCACACAGAGTCTCCAACCATCGATTATCATCATCTCGCGGACCCCAACCAGGTAGTTGACACCTACCGATATGACTCAGTCCACTTGTCAGTGACTTCATGGATTTCTGCCATGTTTTGGTCTGGCCGCCCCTAGCTTTCTTCCAACCCATTCCTACACCGCAAAATATAGCTCGACGAGGCGATCGGTGGTTAAGCATACGTAACACATGTCCTAACCACCTCAACTGAGATGGTAATCGATACATTAACAAGCAATGCTTAATTCAAACACTGTTTTGATTTTATTCTTTATGCATATTAGTAAAACACACTTTTTCCATAAGTATTAGTCAAGAATATCTTAATTTCAATTGCTTGTGAAGTTTTATGGTGAAGATGACATCTAGGTTAGTGTGTAACGATTTATTCATCAAAATACATCAGCATATAGTACTGGTATAGTAATATTCGCAATCTGAACTTCATACATGTACAAATAGTATACAATCTACTATCTCTACCACTATGGGATTTGAATTGACAATTGCGTCTCTGTGGTAATGTGGTATGGCAACATGAACTGATGTACTTACGTACGAAGTTCTACGTTGTAACTGACTGACTGACTGACCTACCTAGGATAGCTAAATTAACTTCGACTTTCTGAATTATATTTTGATTAATACGTTTAAATACTACAGTGAAGGTAAATCTACCCGGTGAGCTTTTCATTACTATAACGTTTCCGTAAGGTTTATACCACTTCATACTGTTACCAAAACTTAAACACAAATGAATACCGT